ATATTTTGCCCTCAACGATGAAACGAACATGTTATGAGGTCATACTGATGCCATGTCCTCATGACGACTTTAGGCGCATAATGATAACGCCACGTCTTCTCTTGATTGCCACCGCCTACAGTCTTTCATGCAGCCCTCTCTTCTCTCAAAAAAGATCCTGCCTGTGGGCTGTGAGCCTGGTGGCACCTGTGAGGTGGCAGGCATTTCCATATCTTTCTTTCCATATCTGTTGCCCCTTTCTGTTCGCCTCTGCTGCAGATGATCCTGTCTGTGGGGTCTGTGAGCCAGGGTGGCACCTGTGAGGTGCCATTCCAAAATCTGTGTTTGTTGTGTTGCCCTTTTCTTTGCGCCTCTTTGCTGCAGATGATTTAGTATGTGCGGCGTTGGGATGTGAGCCTGGTGGCTTCTGTAACCTTGATGAAATAGGAGAGCGCTACTGCAAGTGGGGTGAGTGACTGAGTATAGCATTCCTGCCTGTGGGGTGAGTGAGAATAACATTCCTGCTCTCACCACAGCGCACATGCATTTCTCTGTCAAATTTCTATCAATGTCATTCTGTGCGTTGCCATATAGAGAGTGCATCATGCTTCTCGATTTGTTTCTTGTTCTTCCGTCGGCCTACCTCGTTCCCCTCATTTCACCAGAGCCAGAATTCCTCACCTAAAATCGCACTGATCCGCCTGCATAACCGTGCCAGGGACAAGATTCAGTGAGCTGCAGACGCCTTCCTAGCATTGCTCTCACATACCGCACTGCACCCATCCCCACCCCTCAGACTCACCCTGTGGCACCTGCCCTACTGGAGCCACATGCAAGACCGTGCCTTCATTGTCTAACAGCTCGGTGCAGGTGCCTTACTGCGAGTGCCCTGCAGGCTATGGGATGACCGCCACCGAATGTGTCCCGGGTGATGCATGCTCAATGCATGCTCTCTGCTCTCTGCTCTCTCCTCTCTCCTCTCTACTCACTACTCCCACTCGCTCTGCTCTCTGTCGCCCTGATGGCTATGAGATGATCGCCACTGAATGTGTCCCCAGTGAGCTTCTCCCACACCCACTCTCTCCTCTCTCCATTCGCCCCACTCTCCTTTCCTCACTCGCCCCACTCTCATCTCTCCACTTGCCGCACTCCCTCCTCCCCACTCACCACCCTCTGTCCTCCCTGCACTTTCCCCACTCACTCCTTCCTCTTTGCCAATCTTTCGCAGGAGGAAGCTCCACAGTCAGTTCCTACGGCGTCACACTTATCGCGAACCCAGCAGCCCAGGACAATACCTCCCGGCCCTACATCCTCCGCCTGAACCTGAATGGCTGCACCCAATATCCACCTGCAGTGGCTGGAAAGACCACGTTTCTTTATGCTGTTTTCAACATCGGTAGGACTCCGAATTGCCCGGGCTACTTCAGTTACTACACGGACAACTGTGAAGGGAGACCGGCTCTTGCGACTTTCGGACGAGTTGCTCCGCTTTCTGGAAATTTTGTGGCGTGAGTGATTGACTTGTCTTTCTCCATCATTGTCTTGTCCGCACTATCTTCCCACATCCCTTTCTGCTCCAGTTCTCCAATCGTCAGAGGCAGCACTTTTGAGTCATCCTTCCCTTTTTGTCATCCCCTTGTTTGTACCACTCACCAGTCGCCCTTACTCCACACGCTCTGTCAAGTGTTATTAGTGGGCTTCACTCATGGGAGCGTCATGTGCACCTGCTCTAACTTGGACCGGATTCTTGCTTCCTCAAATACCTAGCTTAGAACTGAGGGACATGCCATTTCATGCCTTTGTTCAATCTGTGAGGTTTACTTATAGTTTTGTGTTGGTTTCATTCAAGAGAGTGTCATTTGCATGGTGCTTTAACTTGGAACAAATTCTCCTTCCCAACTTAAATTCAACCAACGTGGTTGACTATCATTGGATCATGCTTGTCTGGAATTTCTTGGTTTACATGACCCGCAGCCGCTATTAGTTTGCATGAACACCTTTGAGGCGCCTCAAATGCAGACACAGCTGCAGCACGACATGACTCGCAGCCACTATTATTTGCATGAACACAATGCAAGCGGTGCGTTACGAGCAAAGCAAAGCTCGCACCCCCGTGTCTTTGGCTGGTGCGGATCCTGCCTGTGCGGCGTTGGGTGTCGAGTTAGCTAGGCAAGGTTGATTGAACTAGGTATCGAGGGAAAAGTACATGAAGGAAACCCTAAATTCTTATACCCCATAACATCTACCCCACTACAGCCTACCAATATATAGCATAGATATATCATTTGACATTGGGATGTGAGCCGGATGGCAATGTGAGGTGGAATTCTCATCTTTGTTTGTTTCCCCTCACTGTTCGCCTCTGCCTCTGCTGCAGATCCTGCCTGTGCTGCAGATCCTGCCTGTGCGGCTTTGGGCTGTGAGCCGGTGGGTGGCAAATGTGAGGTGGATGGAAACGGAGAGCGCTTCTGCATATGGGGTGAGTGAGCATGCTGTTGCTGTCAGTGGGGTGAGTGAGCATGGCGGTGCTGCCAGTGGTGTTCGAGCGTGGGTTTCCCTCTTTCCCATTCCCATCTCAACTCATGCATATTAAATTTATGCCATCCAAGCCCATACCTCATGCATTCGTGCATGGTGCATCGACCCCAAGCCATCCAGGGCAATACCTCATGCTTTCCTCTCCATCAAACCCATATAACCTCACGCCTCGTGCATTCGTATATATTTTACTCGATGCCATCTTCCCACCCCACGAGAGTGAGAATGCATGAGTTGTCGTCGTTTCTGCCAGCCTACTCCTTTCCCTCTCGTTTCCTCCTCTACCAGCAACCCAGGGGGCATACTGCACTGCACCCACACCCACCCCGCATTCATGCGTATCCCACCGGCCCTCTTTTGCTTCTCCCATGTTCTCCCTCTCCCTTGCTTCTCCCCATCTATCCTTTTGAAGCCTCAATATTCCACAAGCAGTTGCACTCACATCCCACACTGCACCCATCCCCACCCCTCAGATTCACCCTGTGGCACCTGCCTCGCTGCAACCTCTAACTAACCCCCCTTGCACTTACATACCGCACTCCACCCATCCCCACCCCTCAGACTCACCCTGTGGCAGCTGCCCCACTGGAGCCACGTGCAAAACCGTTCCTGCGATCTCCAACAGCGGAATTCCGGTACAGCTGCCTTACTGAGCTTGCCCTGATGGCTATGGGATGACCGAGACCAGCTGTGTTGACGGTGAGTCTCCACTCTCTCCTCTCCCGCGTTACTCTCTCCTCACGAGCCTTGCTGCAAGTGCCCTCAAGGCTTTGGGATGACCCCCACTGAATATGTTGCGGGTGAGCTTCGGCACTCCCCTCTCTCGCCCCACTCCCTCCTCTCCCACTCGCCGTGCTCTCTCGTCTATCTATCCCCACCGTTCAGATACATAGCAGTATGTACAACGATACTATGGATGAAGATGCAAACGAGATTTCCAAGTCCTTTTTTTCCATTCTCTCTCAGGAGGAAAATCCACAGTCGCTTCCACCAGCATTACACTCGTTGCAGAATGGAAAGCCAAGGACAATACCTCCCGGCCCTACACCCTCCGCTGGAACCTCAATGGATGCACTCAGTAACCTGCTGCAGTGGCTGGAAATTACAGATCAGAGAATCTTCTTGCCAACATCAACAGCACTGCGGATTGCCGCGTTGCCTACCAATACTATACGGACAACTGTGAAGGCCCTCCCAACCATGTGATTTACCTGAATGACGATCCGTACTTTGCATCCGTCATGGTGTAAGTGATTGACTGGCCCTTCTCCATCTTCATCATTCCTGCGCTCTCTTCTCGCTTCCCTTTCTGCTCCAATGCTCCAGTTGTCAGGGGCAACAGTCCTGAGTCATCCTTTCCTCTGTGTCATCCCCTTGTTTGCACCATTCTTTAGGGGCATGATTATCCCTCAACTCACTCTCTCTGCCAAGTGTGGTTAGTGGGTTGGTTGCCTTCACTCATGAGAGTGCCATTTGCACCTGCTAAATCTCGGAGAAGATAATGCCTTCAGCTCAGCAGAGACCGAGCTAAGAAGCACCTCCATTTACTATGCTCAAGTCGCCCTTCCGCATGTTCCTCATGCCAATTGGTGACAAAGGGGGGAGGCACGCTAGTGTCCTCTAGGTTTCGTAGCCTGTAGGTCAATGTTGATGCACATATGTAGTTTGTTGGCCATGCCTTGAATTGTCTTTGTGGTTCCAACATATTGTAGTCTGTGAATGTCTATACATTCACTTAACCCTTAACCAAGGTTTTCTCTAAATCGAAGAAATTGTGCCGTGTCCCGTTCGTCCATCCCTATGTGGTGTGGTGTGGTTGGGTAAGGTATATGAATCTTCTTGTACTACTTGCGTGCTAGTCTCAAACCTTCTGCTTAAACCTGATTGGAGGGCACAAACGAAAAACGCTATGCTGGAAGCTAGTCCGTTACCTTATTGGCTTGCGAACGAATCTCCATCTCGTTCTTTTCCGGCAACTCGTCGCACCAATCTCGTCTTCGTGAGCCTTGCTCTAAGTTCCTAGCATTCAAATCTTTGTTCCCCGCCACTCACGCCAGCCTAGATGGCTAGTTTCTCGAGCTTCCTTGGAACGCGTCCCTTGAGCTGTTGAGCTACGAACCTGGTTAGTTGCATAATGCTCGCCAAAATAATGCAGCTGCTAGTTCCAAACGATTCTCGCTTTGCCATATCGTCACCAATTAAACGCCACGAACGGAAAAGGCCTCGCTGGAAGCCTCTGCGTATCGCCATTGGCTCGCGAACGACACTCCTCGCGTTCCCTTTCCAGCAATTCGTCGCTCGTATCGCGCTCCTGAATTCAGATGATCTCGACCCCGCGACTCACGCGAGCTAAGCACACCATTCCCGCGAATCCGATTCAAGCTATCTTTTATATCGGGAACTCATTCCAACCGAGAACGCGTTCCCAGCATTCGCCATGGCGCGGCGGTTGTTACGCTTGGCTCACGTCTGCAACTCGCGACATGAATCAAAGTGCAGGCAAAGCCCGAAGGAAGCATGCCATTTTTCGGACCATTCTCCTTTCAGTTCTCTCGTAGCACTCGCCTATCCTTGCATTGGAGTACTATTAATTCCACCCACCTCCGAGTAGCAGTGGACCACGCTAAGTTGAATAGAAAGCACCCCTACAATCCGCACTTCACCGTCGTCTGTTGCGGCTCTCCCGCAGGATCCCGCCGTCATCATCATCATGGGGTCGATGCGCGCCTCTCCTGCCGGAATTCTTCTGCTTGCCTTTGCCTTAATCTGTGGTAAAGTCTCCTCTTCTTTCTTCTTTCCTCTCGTCTCTGCAAAATCGTTGACTAGTGTTCAGCCCTGCCGTGATGTGAGACCGCTCAGATCCACGCCTTTCACTGCTCCTGCCTTCCGGTCACCTTCTGCTGTACTGCTGCTCTTGCCTTGCCTTGATCTGCTGCTCTCTCGTTGCGCTCAGATCCGTGCCTTCTCCTTCCGTCCTCTCATATCGGTTCTCTCTGCTCTCTCTGCTCTCTCACATCTGCTCTCTCACATCTGCTCTCTCACATCTGCTCTCTCACATCTGCTCTCTCACATCTGCTCTCTCACATCTGCTCTCTCACATCTGCTCTCTCACATCTGCTCTCTCACATCTGCTCTCTCACATCTGCTCTCTCACATCTGCTCTCTCACATCTGCTCTCTCACATCTGCTCTCTCACATCTGCTCTCTCACATCTGCTCTCTCACATCTGCTCTCTCACATCTGCTCTCTCACATCTGCTCTCTCACATCTGCTCTCTCACATCTGCTCTCTCACATCTGCTCTCTCACATCTGCTCTCTCACATCTGCTCTCTCACATCTGCTCTCTCACATCTGCTCTCTCACATCTGCTCTCTCACATCTGCTCTCTCACATCTGCTCTCTCACATCTGCTCTCTCACATCTGCTCTCTCACATCTGCTCTCTCACATCTGCTCTCTCACATCTGCTCTCTCACATCTGCTCTCTCACATCTGCTCTCTCACATCTGCTCTCTCACATCTGCTCTCTCACATCTGCTCTCTCACATCTGCTCTCTCACATCTGCTCTCTCACATCTGCTCTCTCACATCTGCTCTCTCACATCTGCTCTCTCACATCTGCTCTCTCACATCTGCTCTCTCACATCTGCTCTCTCACATCTGCTCTCTCACATCTGCTCTCTCACATCTGCTCTCTCACATCTGCTCTCTCACATCTGCTCTCTCACATCTGCTCTCTCACATCTGCTCTCTCACATCTGCTCTCTGATGTTTGGTCTCTCTGCTCTCTCTTATCCCTTCTCTCATATTTGCTCTTTCTGCTCTCTCTTCTCTTCTTTGCACACCCTCTCCCTTGTCCTCTGCAGTTCAGATGATGAAGGCAGCGCATGGCGATGAAACGGTGAAACGCATGACACACCGCATGGCACACCGGAGCTTGTTTTCTGCCGCGTATGGCGATGGCACAGTGCCGAAAAGCACCAACAAGGGCAGCACCAGCAAGGGCAGCCCCAGCGAGGCCTCTACCACGCAGGTAGCAACGGAGGTGGCGGTGGGAGGGCTGCGGCTGACCTTCAGCAAGCAGCGCTGCGTGAGCGTGCCCAAGAAGGCGGCGAGGCAGGGGAACGTGAAGGTTTGGTGGCAGGGCCGTGCCGGCTCGAGCAACGGGGGCTCGGGCTACGGGGGGTACGGTGGGTATTCGAGCTACGGTGGTCCGGGCAGCAAGGCGCGGGGTGTTGCGGGTGTTACGTGCGCGCAGATCAAGTTCTTTGGGGAGGGTGGCTGCCAGGGCGAGGAGGTGGATAGCATGGTCAACCCGCGCACTGCTACTGCAGCCAAGTGAGTGGATTCGCGCGCATGGTTGCCGGTTTCGCCTGTTCGCAGATCAAGTTCTTTGGGGAGGGTGGCTGCCAGGGCGAGGAGGTGGAAAGCATGGTCAACCCGAACACTACTGGGACCATGTGAGTGACGGGTGGGCCATGTGAGTGGGGGGTGTTGCATGCTTGCAGGTGAAGAGCTTTGGGAAGGGCGGCTGCGAGGGCAAGGAGGTGGAAAGCATGGTCAACCCGAACACTACTGGGACCGTGTGAGTGAAAGGGTGGTGTGAGTTTACCTGGAAGTTTAGCTGGTGCGGTTGTGTGTAAGGCAAGGGGAGAGGAAAGATCCGCTGTTCGCTGCACAGATCCCCTGTTGTGGAGCCGCAAATGCTACCTGTTGTGCTTCCACTTGCCACGCCCTTTCAGGTCCCCACGCTCAAAGAAGAGGCTCTCAGCGCGGGCAGCAGTGGCCTCTGTTCTCTGCATTGTTCCGGAGCAGCCCAAGGAGGAGCCGCAGACACAGCCGAAGGAAGATACGCCGCAGCAGACACAGCCTAAGGAGGAGCCACAAGAGCAACAGCCGAAGGAGGAACAGTAGCCACAGCCGAAGGAGGAACAGCAGCCACAGCCCAACGAGGAGCCTCAGCAGCCACAGCCGAAGGTAGACATGCCGCAGCAGCCACAGCCGGCGGCAGATACGAATGGAGGCGTTAAGGAGGGCAAGTTCGGCACTCTTCTCCGTAAGATGCTTCCCCCTCGTAGACTTCTCAGCCTCCTAACTCCGCATCACTAGTTATAATGCTCAGGAAAAATTGCAGCCCAAGCGTCCTCCCTTTGATCCTTTTCCAGGATTCTTCCACGCTTTCATTCATTTTCTTCCTCTTTGCGAGTTCGCGCAGGTGTGTTGGTAGCACATCTCAAACCAACCAGTTTCCCCCTCGCTGATACTATCAACGCCACAGGGTGCATATTCCTCGGCGTTTTCCTGTAAGCTCCCCCTTTGCTCCCTGCCTCCCCCCAATATACCTTTACCTCGTCTTTTCGGTTTACGCTTCACCCTCTCAGCCTTCCTCACTTATCACACCAATTCCCTCTTGTGACCTTCGCCCATCCATACCCACATGTCCATACCCTCGCTGTTCCGTGGCCGAACGTCCTCCCCTTCTTTCCACCCCCCCTCCCCCCCCCCCCCCCCCCCCCCTCTTTCTCCCCCCTGAAGAAACGCCACAACAAACGACCGCAACATTCGTTATTGCACCGGCATAACTCTAGCTGACAATGCCACGCCTGGAGGCCTCGTGGTCGTCCGGATTGGTGAAGAAAGTCAAGCCATCTTCATCCACTTAGTCAACCGCACTCTCTTGGAGCCTGGGCGCGCCAGCTACGAAGACTCTGACACTCTGGGCTTTAACTGGGTGCTGGAAATGCTTCTGGCTAATCCTGCCTCTTACTTTGCTCGTCTTTACGTCAGGCTCAACTCTCCTGTGAAGGAGCTAACATATCCTGTGACGAGTGGCACTTTCGGCAATGTCACCCTTGGAGGTCCCAAGAATAATGACTACGATAAGTCTTCCGTTACGCCAAACTTTACGTGTGATGGCGTGGCTGATCTTAGGTGCATGGATGATTGGTGACTCTGTTTTCATACCTTGTGTTTTTGTTATTTCTGCAAAATAAGGGCATTTCATTGTAAGAGCTGCCTGTATACCAATACATTATTGCAGTGGTTGTTATGTTGTGTATGTAAGAGCTCTCTGTATAAAAATCAATGAACCAGGTTTACAAAAGGGTTCGTCATAAAACCCTTAAGCGCGAATGAGGGTCTCCTGTATGTTGTTCGTGCTGGCCTAGAAAACCCCTGCCCCAGCATCCTCTACAGTGGCGCCTAGAAATTACGTGGCTGGTTGACAGGACACGATCTGCTTGACATGCCAGGGAAGGCTGCTCGAGAGGCTCTCCAATGGAGCGTCGGAATTCGCGCGACGGCGCACCCAAGGCGCCAGTCACACCGTCATGTCGCACTCGCATGGTAACCATGATGTCGACATACAGTCGACCTTGCGCCTCCCACCGCTGCCCCCCTTGTCCGCCTCGAAAACGACTCCCCGTTACAGTCATTCGCCCCTGCATGTCATTCTCAGGCGACTTTCGAGGCGGCGGCGCCTCACAACCTGTCGCTATGACTCACTTCACCGTCTGTGGTGCTATGATATGGCCCTCAGGACCTCACCTCGACCTGAGCGATCATCATCAGCATGTCCCACTCGACGTCATATCATCCCAGCCTCGATTCGCGTCGCAGCGTCGCCTTCGCTCCTCGTTTCGTCGCCGCCTCGAATCTCTTTGCCTCGCGTTACCATCGCCTCGTCCCCTCCGCGCCACCTCCCTGCTCCACCCCTCGTTCCGCCTCGTCCGATCGCCGGATATCCCCTCCTTACCTCGACTTCCCCGCTCACCACCACCGACGAAACCCCTTCGATCATTCTCATACACGCCGTACCTACGATTGAGAGCTGTCACGCCGCGTCGCGTCGCATTCCAGTGCATCCCCGCGGCAGGTCCAGGTTCAACCCCTCGGCGGTTGCGCGGATTCATTCATCGCGCGCGCCTTGCGCGCAGCCTGACGCGGCTGATGTGTGATGTGAGAGTGGTTATCGGTTCTTGGCGGAGTCACAACGTCGGATCTATCAAGTTTCCGACAAAGTGCGGTTCCGTGCGTGCATTAGCACGAATCCCTTCAACCGAGTTTCTAACACACAGCACGCGGAAAGCGCCAGGTGGAGTTACCTCGACGCGAGGACGACATAATATGGACAGATTGCGCGGTGCCGCTCTTTGTTAGGTGCATGAGACTCTGTGCCGGGGGTGTCCTGGCATTCTGGGTCCGAATTTCGAGCTCTCGAGCCGTGCACTGCGGCTTACAGCGGTCGAGCAGTCACAGAAGGCTCTTAGCGAGTCGGTCACATTTGTTCTGACGGATTCTTAGACGGTCGTTAAGGATCGTTATCTTGATCGTAGCGCGACTGCATCTGCTGCGGAGCAACGGCTGAGAGCAAGTGCCGGAAGCAGCTGCACGAGGGGATTTTTTACTAGCTCTTGGCTGCTATTAATTGGCCGTTGAAGAGTTGATTGGTGGCGTTCGCAGGAGTTGAGTGGCTACTACGGATATTACCCGCCATCATCCGCACAGGGGGTGCTTGCTTTAGGGTAAGTCACAGCGACCGCTGCTCTTCTCAGCTGCTACCGTCCGTTCGATTCCTCCAGTTATCGCAACGACACGCACTTGTGGTGTAACGAGCAGTTGCAAGCCTGTTAGAAGCCCGGTGGTTGTCAGCTGCATGGGGGAAGCGGCGGACGTAGAGGCGGGACGCACGGCGGGTGAAGCGCGCGAGAGCACGGAATGCTTCACCGTGGTTGACCTTGAGAACGGTGCTTGTAACGGCGGCGGATCTGATGGAAACCATTCCAACGTCGGTACTGACGGCGAACGTGTGGTTGTGGAGGATTCCTTCAAGGATTTCGCCGCTGCTGGAAAGAGCGCGTTTGCGAAACACGGGCTCGATCACTCCGCGTACGACCTAACTGTCGTAGACTTGACTTACAAGGTGTGGCTATCGTCCCTTTCTCCTGTCACCATACTCGAGTTCTTGCTTCCCCCTGTCTTCGCCTTCCGAGTTGATTAAAACAATAATTATGTTATTTCGTCCAGATCGAAATATCCAGGCGGTAAATCGCTCCCTTCTATTTACTCTTCCCCCCCTCCCCCTCCCACTCTCCATTATTCTCCTGCCTAGGTTGTCAAGAAGACGGGTAACAACGGCAGCACGAAGCAGATGATTCTCCTAAACAAGGTCAACGCCAAGGCACGCCATGGCCAGATGATGGCGGTAGTCGGCCCGTCAGGCGCAGGAAAGTCTACGTTTCTCGACGCGATTGCTGGACGAATCAGCCAATCCTCGTTGGACGGCGAGATCCTGGTTAACGGCAAGCCGGTTGAGTCGTCGTTCAAGCGAGTGTCGGGTTATGTTATGCAGGACGACCAGCTTTTCCCCATGCTGTCGGTTCGCGAAACGCTCATGTTTTCCGCGCGCCTGCGACTTCCTGCGACGATGTCGCTCGCGGATAAAAAGGAGCGCGTGTCGGATCTGATCGACGAATTGGGGCTGACGACTTGCGCGAACACGATTATTGGGAATGCCGAAGTTCGCGGAGTTTCGGGAGGCGAGCGGCGACGAGTTTCCATTGGTGTGGACTTGATTCACGACCCTGCTGTACTCTTTTTGGACGAACCCACTTCTGGTTTGGATTCTACAGCTGCACTGAATGTTATGCAAAGCTTGCACGACATTGCAACACACCGGCGCCGCACAATTATCCTCACGATCCACCAGCCGTCCTTCCGAATTCTGGACCTTATTCACAACTTCCTGGTGCTGGCGAAAGGGTCTGCAGTGTACCATGGGTCTTATCCGGGAATGCTGAAATTCTTCGAGGACTTCGGCACAGTGGTGCCTGAACATGTGGGTAGAAACCCTGGTGGGAAATGCCTGCAACGCCTGTACATTGATCCTTCCTCTATACGCATCTCCTCCACCATTCCTCATTTCACATCTCATGGTACCTGCTTGTTTTGCTCCCTCATGTGCTGATCATAAATCTGCAGGTGAACGCCCTCGAGTATGCACTTGACATGATTGAAGAGGAGCAGCAGAAGGAGAGGGGGCTGGACGAGCTGATTCGATTCAGTGTAAGCGCAGCGATGGTGCCACGGGATGGGAGGGATGGCATGCCTTACTCATGACTGGAACCATTGCCATGGGGTGATGTGAATGTGAGGGGTCTGAAAGAGCTAATTCAATGCCGTGTAGTGTGCATTGTGTGCGGTGTCCATGACATACGACTTTGAAGCCAACTCAGACCAGCTCTGGTCATGTGTACTCTGCGGGAATGGTACGAGTCATGGCTCAACCCACCATTTCATGCCGAGTCATCGCTCAACCCACCATGGCATGCCGAGTCATGTCTCAACCCACCATGGCATGCCGAGTCATGTCTTAACCCACCATGGCATGCAGCTGTCATGGCTCAAACCTCCTCCCCCCTCCTCGTCCACCAGAATGTGCACTACCGTCGTCCCACTGCGGTTTTCTCCCCCCCTCCCTCCCAACTCTTTCACCACCCTCTAACCCCCCCAATCCCCGTCCACCAGAAGGAGCTCTACAAAACAAACACGATCGTTCCCTCACAACTCACAGCACTCTGGGCCTGCACCGCCATTCCTCCCCCATTATTCCCATCTCGTCTTCCCTCCCCTCCCCTCCCCTCTTCCCTTCTTCCCCCTTCCCCCTTCCTCTCTCTCCTTCCCTCTTTCCCCCAACCCCTCCCGCATCAAGCAGAAGGAGCGCTACGAGCACGAGCGGTCCCTCGCCACTCACAGCGCCCTCGGTCCGCACCACCACGCCTCCCCGCCTCCGCGCACTTTCGCCACGCCCTTCCTCCACGAAACCCTAACGCTCGCCGATCGCAACTTCAAAAACATCTTCCGAACGCCGGAGCTCTTCTTATCGCGTATCGGGCTCATGGTGATAACGGGACTTATTCTCGGGTCGCTGTTTCTCAAATCGGGGTACGACGCGGAAGGCATCACGAACCGCGCGTCGTTCTTCGCGTTCGCGCTCGCGCTCCTCCTGTTTACCTCCACTGAGGGCCTTCCGATCTTTTTAGATGAACGGCAGATCTACATCCGCGAGACGTCGCGCGGCGCGTACCGCACCGGATCGTACGTGCTCGCGGGCGCGCTGGTCTTCCTGCCGTTCCTCTTCCTCCTCTCGCTGCTCTTCTCGTGCGTCGCATATTTCATGGTCGGCCTCGCAGCGACGGCGACGGCGTTTTTCCGGTTCGTCGCGACGGTGTTTCTGACGCTCGCGGTTGGGAACTCGTTTGTCGTGTTCTTCGCGGCGTTCGTGCCCAACTACATCACCGGGAATACCGTGGTGACGGCGATCACGGCCTTCTTCTTCCTCTTTAGTGGCTTCTTCATTTCCAAGTAAGATACTAGTGGATACTGAATCTGGATTAAGTACTTTTCCACCTTCAATTGCAGCTTCTCAGATGCTCTCTATCCACAAGCATAGCTCCCTGCTAACCCTCTCCGTATGTACCCACCTAATCTTTCGCTCTCCCCATCCCCCCCTTCCCCGCTCTCAGGGCTAACATTCCACCGTACTGGATCTGGATGAACTACCTCTCCACCTTCAAGTACCCCTTGGAAATGCTCACAATCAACGAGTACGGCTCTCTCCCGTCCGTCTGCTGGGAATACCTCGTTAAGAGCGACTCCACCTCGCCCTGTATAGTCACCTCCGATACCGTTATTGCGCGATTCGATATGGCGGACAGCAAGTTCTGGGAGTCTGCAGTGGTGATGGTGTCGTTCTTTATCGGGTACAGAATCCTGTTCTATTTCGCGCTGAGGTACCAGACTGCGCTCGTCCGCAAGTGACGGACGGGTCTGATTTAGAGCGTGGTACAAGTTCGCGTCAAAGTACCATACCACTAATCTCGGGAGCGTGGTTCCAGACCCAGGTTGATCGCGGTTCCGCGCAAATGAATCCCAGGGCTGGCGGGAGCAAGCGAAAAGGTGGGGATGGATGGGTGGTGGTTTAGTAGTGTGATATGGACGAGTCTGTTTTGTACATATATGTATCTAATTGGTAAGCAAATCAGCTGTATAACCAGCAAATTTACCCCTTTCCTATACACAACCACTCAAATCTTATCCATACAGCAGAAGATCTGGTACCAATCAGGATCTCCAGTTAGCTCAGTCTACTGATATAACTCATCGCAAAAAAACAGTGCACTTCCAGACTACGTAACATCGACAATTCAACCACTACAGCGACAGGCTTGATACCCTTTTTGGACCAATAAGTACTGAGCAATTGAGTCAGAATTCATGACCTATGTGGCAGTTGAAGCATGAGAATCAAGAGCTGTTGAGATTGAACCGCCTGCATGATCGGCATTAGAAGCAGCATTTGTAGGCCCAGCAGCAGCATCAGCACCAGCAGGAACAGCGTATTGCCCATCTTTCCTGCGAGTGCGAGACACACCAAGGCGGGGCAACCCCCGATTTAACCCCTCCAGCAGCACACACGCCTTGCACAGCTCCTGATGAATCATTCCCGGGAAGAGAGAAAGAGGGGAGAGAAAGAGGAGATTCTTAAGCCATCATTCAGTCAGAGTTTCAAGAGTACACAGGCCTTGCACAGCTCCTTGTGATTGGAGATTTTGAAGAAAGCTGAGGGGAGGAAAGAGGAAACAATGGAGACCCCTACACAGTGTCAATGTAATAAAACCTGTCCGTCAACCCTTCAACCCTTCAATGATGTGCAACACTGCAGACAAACAGCCGTCGTGCAAGAGCCTTCGAAACTTCTAAAAACTAGTTGCTCTCTGAGAACTTTAGAAAACCTGCAATACAGCAGACAGACAGCTGTTGTGCGCACTTCTGTAACCGCACCTGGCTGTTTCCATTTGTTGGAAGTAACACCATCTGTCCAAGATGTAACCGTACCTGGCTGGAGATGTAACCGCATCGGTCACATGTGCGCTGAGTTGGCATCTTGGCATCTGCCTGGAAACTAAAGTCCTCCGCAGATTTGATTATGTCCAGAATGGCTCGCGGTCTGAGAGTGAGTGAGTGAGTGCACACACAGGGAAGGTTGATTGAAGGGAAAAAGAGAAGGGGGGGTTTAACCCCATCGTCAGCCTGGAGGAATCTGAAGTCCTCCGCAGATTTGATTATGTCCAGAATGGCTCGCGGTCTGAGAGTGTGAGCACAGACAGGGGACAATTCAATTTGCAAACCATTTTTAGAGTTCATTACAGAGGAACTCTAAAAATTTCACCCCATTATGGAATCTGAACTCCTCCGCTGGCTTGATTATGTCCAGAATGGCTTGAGGCCTGAGGGTAAAATGAGTGCACACAAAGGGGAGGTAGATTATGGAAATTGGAGAAAGCACTACATTTTTCTGCTTGGAGGAATCTGAGCTCCTCCGCTGATTTGTTATATCCAGAATGGCTTGAGGCCTGAGAGTGAGTGCACATGGGCAAGTTGGAAAGGGGGTTAAAGAAAGTAAGAAAACAAGAAGCTCAGCTAAACCACACAGGCGCGGTAAAAAGAAGATGTCTCGGAACAGAAAGGAGCCTGGCTAACAAGTCCTTGGTGTTTTCCGAGTTGAGCTCCAAGAAATTGTAAGCCAGCTCATTTTATGGCGCTTCAAAATTTGCCTTTTGAGGCGCCTAAAAAATGATTTGTGAGCCAGGCTCATTTTTTAGGCGCCTAAAAAATCAGAAGGGAGCCTGGCTAACAAGTCCTTGGTGTTTTCGAGTTGAGCACCAATGACTGGTAAGCCTGGTTCACGTGAGTGTGCTTCATGTAAGGCGCACTCGCGGTATGACCTCTAAGCATGATACACAAGGGGAGCTCTTATCTCATGTCCTCTAGTTCCTCAAAGTTCTCCGAGTCGAATCAGAGAGGTAGGCACCATACAGAAGGTATCCACTCACCGTATGACCCCTCAGCACCCACTCACTGTATAGCATCGAAACAGCCACCAGATGGCTTCACAGCACTCTCACACCGTATGGCCTCTAAGTCCTTGACGAATTTACGGGCGAAGCCCTGATAAGCGTTTGGAGAGGTGACTTTTGAGTGGAGTAACCCACTTGCTGTATGGCTTCTGAACACCCACTCACCGTATGGCCTCTAGGTCCTAAATGAAAGAGCTAAGCAGCACCCATGAAGTGCTCTCACCGTATGGCCTCTAAGTCCTTGATAAATTCACGGGCGAAGCCCCGATAGGCGTCTGGAGAGTAGATGCCTGCACGCACAGAGGCATGGCCCTCTGAGCACTCTGGCCTCTTGGCACTCTCTTGCCGTATGGCTTCTGAACACCCACTCACCGTATGGCCTCTAAGTCCTTGATAAATTCACGGGCGAAGCCCCGATAGGCGTCTGGAGAGTAGATGCCTGCATGCACAGAGGCATGGCCCTCTGAGCACTCTGGCCTCTTGGCACTCTCTTGCCGTATGGCTTCTGAACACCCACTCACCGTATGGCCTCTAAGTCCTTGATAAATTCACGGGCGAAGCCCCGATAGGCGTCTGGTGAGTAGATGCCTGCACGCACAGCCGTGGAAGGGTGAAGAGGTGACGAGAGTAGGCGGGAGGAGAGGGGAAGAGCAAGCGGGGACGTTGTGAGGAGCCACAAGCAAACACATTTGAAGAGAACTGAACAGTCGTCAGGAGGGGTTACCGAAGAGGAGCATACCCGCAGTTCTGCTAACTGCTCAGATGTGCTTGTCTTGGTGCGAGAGCAGATACCAACGAGCAGGCTACAGGAAATCAGCGTGCGCCCATGGAACAAGAAATTGCAGAACCTTTGTGTGAACTCTCTGCTGAGATGACAAGAGGGATTCTTACATTCTGTGGAGAAATAATCCAACTTCTTGAAATGCGCGTACGTGCTGATTGAACGTCGATAGACCAATGTTACAACATTGCAATGAAGCAGGTTACATGGTTACAAGGCGGAAGGAAATGAGGAACACATGGAAGGAGTGGTGTGGCAAAGGGGAGACAGGAAGGGGAGGGGGAGCAAGGGGAAGCGAGGAATGTGGTGTGGTGGGGCAAGGGGGGAGAGGATCGGGGAGGGGGTGCAATTATGGCAGGGGAAGAGGCAAGGTAGGGAGAGAGAGGAAGGCAGAAAAAGAGAGGGAGGAAGAGAACAAAAGCGATGGAGGGGAGTGAGGTAGCATAAGGAGAAGAGACAAACGATTAAAAAGGAAGGTTAGGAGAGCGCAAAGTAGGAAAGAGGGGAGAGGAGAATAGAAGAGGAGTTAAGGAACTCTGGATTGAAAAGGAAATTTGGTCAAGCAAATGAAGCACTTGTATTTGGCTTAGTTGAACAAACAGCGTACAAGAATACGGAACAAGGAAAGAGTAGAAAAACGGTTTAAAATTGACAAGGCCAGGGATATTCCGAGGATTTTAGATCGGGAGCGGATATATGACGATCTCCTTCTCGTAGGTGTATTTGAACGGTTTGCTCCTGGGCAGGGCAGAGTCCTCTCCCGTGGTGATGGCAGCACAGCGACTCAGCCTCGCCACGTCGCCTCTCAATAGATTCAGCAACACCGTTTCTGCGAAATCATCTGCGTTGTGGCCTGTCACGAGCTTGTCTGCTCCCAGGAGGGCCGCCCCTCTGTCTAGAGCCTGTGGTTTGTTTGAGGGGCATTGCGATAGGAAGAGGAAAGAGAGAGAAAGAGCACTGGAATTCAGCACCAGCAGGGCTTGCTCCTGGGAAGGGCAGAGTCCTCCCTCGCCCGTGGTGATGGCGGCGCAGCGACTGAGCCTCGCCACGTCCCCCCTCAGCAGGTTCAACAATACAGTTTCAGCGAAATCGTCTGCATTGTGGCCTGTGACCAATTTGTCTGCTCCCAGGAGCGCTGCTCCCCTGTCTAGGGCCTGTGGAGAGAGTGAAAGTAGAAAAGAATGAGCTCAGCACGGGCAGGGCAGAGTCCTCCCTCCCCCGTGGTGACGGCCGCGCAGAAAATCAGCCTCGCCACGTCGCCACTCAGCAGGTTCAGCAGCATCCGTCTCGGCAAAGTCATCCGCGTTGTGCCCCGTGACTAGCTTGTCCGCTCCTAAAAGGGCCGCGCCTCTATCTAGGGCCTGTGCATGAGAGGTGCATTGTGTTGCAATCGGTGGAGAAGGGAAGCAGACTGAGCCTCGCCACGTTCAGCCAGCCTCAGTAGATTCAGCAGCACCGTCTCGGCAAAGTCATCCGCGTTGTGCCCCGTGACTAACTTGTCCGATCCTAAAAGGGCCGCTCCTCTAGCGCTTGTCTATCTGCCCCTCTATCTAGGGAGGGAGAGGAGGAGGGTATCGCGACAGAAGGGCAACGAGCACTGACTGAGAGTCGCACCACGTCCCCCCTCAGGAGGTTCAGCCGCACCGTCTCGGCAAAGTCATCCGCGTTGTGCCCCGTGACAAGCTTGTCTGCCCCCAGAAGGGCTGCTCCACGGTCTGTATACGCTTGGGATAACCAACTTACCTGTCGTCTGAACAACCCACAGAACATGTAGTTGTTCTTTCGGCCTATAGCCTCTCAATATCAGATGCATTCACCTTCCGCCTGAACGCGACCCACCTGCCTTCTAAACTCCCCACAGAACGTGTAGTTGTTCTTTCGGCCAATAGCCCCTCAACAAGAGATGCACCCACTTGCGAATAGAGATTACCCACATCCTGTCAACACCCACCTGTCTTGTCATCCTGTCCTGTCATCGCCCACCTGTCCTGTCATCGCCCACCTGTCGTCTGAACACCCCGCAGAACGTGCAGTTGTTCTTTCGGCCAATCGTTGCCACTATCTCATCCATGGTCCACCCGTACAGGTCCTTGTAAGACAGGATGGTGAGGGGGATGCCGTACTGCACGAGATTGTAGGGTAGGGGGAAGTGGAGAGAGGAAAGCGGGGGATTAAACTTCAAGTCAGAGTCCCCTCTGCTTGTGGAGAGAAGTCCTTGTGAGAGTCCTCAACAGACTGGACGCACCGGACGTTCTTTGAGAATTCTCAAAAAACAAACTCAGCACCGGACGTGCCGCGGGTGGTCTGGTCAAGTATGTCTGTTGGTGCGTCCTCCGGTATATCGCTCCACCAACGAGTACTATCCTCAGAGCATGATTTGATATGAAAATCGTGGAGAGACGTACCATGTTCCATGATCTGTCTCTAAACATACATACTCGTCCATTCCCATTGCCCCATCGTACATCTCTCCATCGTGCCTGCCGCCTTGTAATTATGTAGAGCCCTCGACTTAATTCATCAACTCACCAATCCACCCACACCCACCCACCTGCTCACCTGCATCTCGTTCTTCTAACGAGACATCTCTGTAACCCGTAATCCCTTCATCAATGGAGAGCAGAATCAGGTGCAGACCATCCTTCTGACCATCCTTCTGACCATCCTTCTGACCATCCTTCTGACCATCCTTGCACACTATCCTTGCACACTATCCTTGCACACTATCCTTGCACACTATCCTTGCACACTATCCTTGCACACTATCCTTGCACACTATCCTTGCACACTATCCTTGCACACTATCCTTGCACACTATCCTTGCACACTATCCTTGCACACTATCCTTGCACACTATCCTTGCACACTATCCTTGCACACTATCCTTGCACACTATCCTTGCACACTATCCTTGCACACTATCCTTGCACACTATCCTTGCACACTATCCTTGCACACTATCCTTGCACACTATCCTTGCACACTATCCTTGCACACTATCCTTGCACACTATCCTTGCACACTATCCTTGCACACTATCCTTGCACACTATCCTTGCACACTATCCTTGCACACTATCCTTGCACACTATCCTTGCACACTATCCTTGCACACTATCCTTGCACACTATCCTTGCACACTATCCTTGCACACTATCCTTGCACACTATCCTTGCACACTATCCTTGCACACTATCCTTGCACACTATCCTTGCACACTATCCTTGCACACTATCCTTGCACACTATCCTTGCACACTATCCTTGCACACTATCCTTGCACACTATCCTTGCACACTATCCTTGCACACTATCCTTGCACACTATCCTTGCACACTATCCTTGCACACTATCCTTGCACACTATCCTTGCACACTATCCTTGCACACTATCCTTGCACACTATCCTTGCACACTATCCTTGCACACTATCCTTGCACACTATCCTTGCACACTATCCTTGCACACTATCCTTGCACACTATCCTTGCACACTATCCTTGCACACTATCCTTGCACACTATCCTTGCACACTATCCTTGCACACTATCCTTGCACACTATCCTTGCACACTATCCTTGCACACTATCCTTGCACACTATCCTTGCACACTATCCTTGCACACTATCCTTGCACACTATCCTTGCACACTATCCTTGCACACTATCCTTGCACACTATCCTTGCACACTATCCTTGCACACTATCCTTGCACACTATCCTTGCACACTATCCTTGCACACTATCCTTGCACACTATCCTTGCACACTATCCTTGCACACTATCCTTGCACACTATCCTTGCACACTATCCTTGCACACTATCCTTGCACACTATCCTTGCACACTATCCTTGCACACTATCCTTGCACACTATCCTTGCACACTATCCTTGCACACTATCCTTGCACACTATCCTTGCACACTATCCTTGCACACTATCCTTGCACACTATCCTTGCACACTATCCTTGCACACTATCCTTGCACACTATCCTTGCACACTATCCTTGCACACTATCCTTGCACACTATCCTTGCACACTATCCTTGCACACTATCCTTGCACACTATCCTTGCACACTATCCTTGCACACTATCCTTGCACACTATCCTTGCACACTATCCTTGCACACTATCCTTGCACACTATCCTTGCACACTATCCTTGCACACTATCCTTGCACACTATCCTTGCACACTATCCTTGCACACTATCCTTGCACACTATCCTTGCACACTATCCTTGCACACTATCCTTGCACACTATCCTTGCACACTATCCTTGCACACTATCCTTGCACACTATCCTTGCACACTATCCTTGCACACTATCCTTGCACACTATCCTTGCACACTATCCTTGCACACTATCCTTGCACACTATCCTTGCACACTATCCTTGCACACTATCCTTGCACACTATCCTTGCACACTATCCTTGCACACTATCCTTGCACACTATCCTTGCACACTATCCTTGCACACTATCCTTGCACACTATCCTTGCACACTATCCTTGCACACTATCCTTGCACACTATCCTTGCACACTATCCTTGCACACTATCCTTGCACACTATCCTTGCACACTATCCTTGCACACTATCCTTGCACACTATCCTTGCACACTATCCTTGCACACTATCCTTGCACACTATCCTTGCACACTATCCTTGCACACTATCCTTGCACACTATCCTTGCACACTATCCTTGCACACTATCCTTGCACACTATCCTTGCACACTATCCTTGCACACTATCCTTGCACACTATCCTTGCACACTATCCTTGCACACTATCCTTGCACACTATCCTTGCACACTATCCTTGCACACTATCCTTGCACACTATCCTTGCACACTATCCTTGCACACTATCCTTGCACACTATCCTTGCACACTATCCTTGCACACTATCCTTGCACACTATCCTTGCACACTATCCTTGCACACTATCCTTGCACACTATCCTTGCACACTATCCTTGCACACTATCCTTGCACACTATCCTTGCACACTATCCTTGCACACTATCCTTGCACACTATCCTTGCACACTATCCTTGCACACTATCCTTGCACACTATCCTTGCACACTATCCTTGCACACTATCCTTGCACACTATCCTTGCACACTATCCTTGCACACTATCCTTGCACACTATCCTTGCACACTATCCTTGCACACTATCCTTGCACACTATCCTTGCACACTATCCTTGCACACTATCCTTGCACACTATCCTTGCACACTATCCTTGCACACTATCCTTGCACACTATCCTTGCACACTATCCTTGCACACTATCCTTGCACACTATCCTTGCACACTATCCTTGCACACTATCCTTGCACACTATCCTTGCACACTATCCTTGCACACTATCCTTGCACACTATCCTTGCACACTATCCTTGCACACTATCCTTGCACACTATCCTTGCACACTATCCTTGCACACTATCCTTGCACACTATCCTTGCACACTATCCTTGCACACTATCCTTGCACACTATCCTTGCACACTATCCTTGCACACTATCCTTGCACACTATCCTTGCACACTATCCTTGCACACTATCCTTGCACACTATCCTTGCACACTATCCTTGCACACTATCCTTGCACACTATCCTTGCACACTATCCTTGCACACTATCCTTGCACACTATCCTTGCACACTATCCTTGCACACTATCCTTGCACACTATCCTTGCACACTATCCTTGCACACTATCCTTGCACACTATCCTTGCACACTATCCTTGCACACTATCCTTGCACACTATCCTTGCACACTATCCTTGCACACTATCCTTGCACACTATACACATGTGTGGCGCCTGTACCTCTCACACACGTGCATTTGACATCAACGCTCACCTGCTTCTCGTTCCGCTTGACTGTCTCCAGTGAGTCATCCCTGTATCCTGTAATTCCCTCGTCAATGGAAAGCAGGAACAACTGCAGGCCGTAGTCGTGGCGTGTGTTGAGGAGGGAGATGATGTGCGCCAGCACGGTGGAGTCTGGGGGAGGGGAAACGGGGAAGAAAGACGAGGTGGGTGAAGGTACATGGAATGCACACACGTGAGAGTTGACTCTGAGAGCAGGAAGAGCTGCAGGCCGTAGTCATGGCGGGCGTTGAGAAGGGAGATGACGCGCGCAAGCACGGTGGAGTCTAGGGGAGGGAGGAGGGGGGTGGAAGAGAGAAGAGGGGGGTAAAGGATCATCCACTGAATGCACGTGTGATTTTGACTCTGAGAGCAGGAAGAGCTGCAGGCCGTAGTCATGGCGGGTGTTGAGGAGAGACATGATGTGCGCCAGCACAGTGGAGTCTGGAGGATGGAGGGGGGAGGGGGGTGGTGGTGGGGAGGAGGGATCAGAAGCATGGTCTGAGAATTGTCATCGAACAGAAAGAGCTGCAGTGCAGACCATAGTCGTGGCGTGTGTTGAGGAGAGGCATGATGTGAGTCAGCACGGTGGAGTCTGGGGGAAGGGGAGAGGAAGGGTGGGAGGGAGGGGGATGAAAGGTCTGGAGCATGGTCTGTGAGTTGACCTCTGACAGGAAGAGCTGCAGGTCGTAGTCGTGGGGTGTGTTGAGGAGAGACATGATGTGCGCCAGCACGGTGGGGTCTGGAGGCCGGATGGGGGGAAATGGGGAGGGAAGGTGGGGGGAAATGGGGAGGGAAGGTGGGGTGAGGGATCAAGAGAAAACAACAGGGTTGACAACAAGTGACAAAAGAGCTGCAGGCCGTGTGTTGAGGAGAGAGATGATGTTAGCAAGCACGGCGGGATTGCTTGAAGAGGCTTCTTTCAAGAAGCACCATGGATGGTGAAAGTGAGGCCTCCGCAGCCCACCTGTCCTCTTTTGACAGCTCCTGCACCATGGATGGAGGCACGGACGTTTCACTCCAACAGACAGAAGAAGCGAAGCATTCCTCGTTCGTCTAAAGCCTACACATGGTGGGATGGGAATGGGAGCATCAAATGCTGCTGCAGTGACTCACCCTTCCCCACTGATGCAGCCACTGCGACCTTCTCTCCTCGCTTGAAGAGCCTGTTCTCCACGATGGTGGCATGGATCTCCGATTCGAACAGACGGAAGAAGCAGTCCTTGCGTATGATTTTTGAGAATTCTCAAAAATCAGAAGCAGTCCTTGCACACATGAAGCCTGTAAGCCTGTATGGGCTGTATGGGGGCATGAGACTCTTGTGCCACTTACTCACCTTTTCCCCCTGACGCAGCCACTGCCACCTTCTCGCCTCTCTTGAAAAGCCTGTTTTCCACGATGGTGGCATGGATCTCGGACTCGAACAGACGGAAGAAGCAGTCCTTGCACACCTGGGCATGGAGGGGAATGGAGAGACGGACACAAGACGGAATACAGCGGAGAGAGAGACAGTGCAGCAGTGGTGATGATGATGGGACATGAAGAGCAGAAGAGGGGTGGCTTGATAGAGGGGTGGCTTGATAGAGGGGTGGCTTGATAGAGGGGTGGCTTGATAGAGGGGTGGCTTGATAGAGGGGTGGCTTGATAGAGGGGTGGCTTGATAGAGGGGTGGCTTGATAGAGGGGTGGCTTGATAGAGGGGTGGCTTGATAGAGGGGTGGCTTGATAGAGGGGTGGCTTGATAGAGGGGTGGCTTGATAGAGGGGTGGCTAGATAGAGGGGTGGCTAGATAGAGGGGTGGCTTGATAGAGGGGTGGCTTGATAGAGGGGTGGCTTGATAGAGGGGTGGCTTGATAGAGGGGTGGCTTGATAGAGGGGTGGCTTGATAGAGGGGTGGCTTGATAGAGGGGTGGCTTGATAGAGGGGTGGCTTGATAGAGGGGTGGCTTGATAGAGGGGTGGCTTGATAGAGGGGTGGCTTGATAGAGGGGTGGCTTGATAGAGGGGTGGCTTGATAGAGGGGTGGCTTGATAGAGGGGTGGCTTGATAGAGGGGTGGCTTGATAGAGGGGTGGCTTGATAGAGGGGTGGCTTGATAGAGGGGTGGCTTGATAGAGGGGTGGCTTGATAGAGGGGTGGCTTGATAGAGGGGTGGCTTGATAGAGGGGTGGCTTGATAGAGGGGTGGCTTGATAGAGGGGTGGCTTGATAGAGGGGTGGCTTGATAGAGGGGTGGCTTGATAGAGGGGTGGCTTGATAGAGGGGTGGCTTGATAGAGGGGTGGCTTGATAGAGGGGTGGCTTGATAGAGGGGTGGCTTGATAGAGGGGTGGCTAGATAGAGGGGTGGCTTGATAGAGGGGTGGCTTGATAGAGGGGTGGCTTGATAGAGGGGTGGCTTGATAGAGGGGTGGCTTGATAGAGGGGTGGCTTGATAGAGGGGTGGCTTGATAGAGGGGTGGCTTGATAGAGGGGTGGCTTGATAGAGGGGTGGCTTGATAGAGGGGTGGCTTGATAGAGGGGTGGCTAGATAGAGGGGTGGCTTGATAGAGGGGTGGCTTGATAGAGGGGTGGCTTGATAGAGGGGTGGCTTGATAGAGGGGTGGCTTGATAGAGGGGTGGCTTGATAGAGGGGTGGCTTGATAGAGGGGTGGCTTGATAGAGGGGTGGCTTGATAGAGGGGTGGCTTGATAGAGGGGTGGCTTGATAGAGGGGTGGCTTGATAGAGGGGTGGCTTGATAGAGGGGTGGCTTGATAGAGGGGTGGCTTGATAGAGGGGTGGCTTGATAGAGGGGTGGCTTGATAGAGGGTGTGTGCGCCGTGCTGATGGTGGTGCCCTCTGGTTTGGAATCCAGAGAGGGGGTGAGTACGAGGAAGGGAAAGAAGGTGGAATGGAGGGATGGAAAGGTGGACGGAGAGAGGGAGGGAGAAGGGGGATGGCAGGGAGGCACTGCTGAGAGGGTTCAGCAACGCAGAAGCACAAACGCAGGGGCGGGAGAAGGTGGGGGGAGAGGGGGGGAGGGGGAGGGAAGAGGAGTGGCGGAGACGGGCGACAGGGGTTGGGGGGAGCTGTGAATACACGGGGCGAGCGAACCTGCTGGCCGGTCTTGGGCCGTTTCACCATGGCGCGCTGCTCCCCGCACTCCCCGCACATCAGTCTTCCGCCTCCGCTCCCGCGCGCCCTCACCGCTGCGCCGCTTCCGCTGATGCGGATGCTCGGCGCGCTGCTGCTGCCGCCGCTGCTGCTGTCTCTGCTGTCGTTGCTAGTGGCGGTAGCGCTAACTGTAACACTTGCGTCACCACTTGCGGTAATACTAGTAATAGCACAACTCGTGGAGTTGGCAGCGGGGGGAAACGAGCCGCAGGCATGATCGGAGCTGCTGCAACCGCCATTGACGGAAGAACAGCTGCCTGATTGGACGGCGCGGTTGCTATCCTCGCTACAGTTGCACCCGTTACACGGCCGAGCACAGTCGCTGCTCTCGCAGGCGGAAGTCATTCGCGAAGCCTGCTCGTCTGGACTCGCGTGATCCTTTCTACAGGCACACACGCCTCCGTGTGTAGGCATAACGCGCAGTAGGAGAGTGAGAAAGGCGCTACTTGTGCTGAAATTAGGGTTCTGCAAAGAGTGGAATCGCTATGTTAGTGAATCGCTATGTTAGTGAGCCGTGTAATAAGTGAACAATATTTCTTGGAATGATGTGTTGCGTGCACTGGTTTTGGAGCAATCGCGTGGTAGAAGGTTGCGCAATAACGAGACACTTATCAAAACCCAGAATCTCGACTTTGCCAGCACAACTAAAAATCGCAGCGCGTGCTGACAGCTTCGCGGTTTTGTTTCGCGAAAATCGTCGAGCAACCCTTCTCACCACGGCGAAAACCATCCAGCCTCGATTTTGGCGGTCAGCCTTTTGTGAACCGTCGATCGGAGATTCTCTCGCCTGTTGCTGGTCGAGCCTTGGGATCTCCGTCAGCAAACCTCAGGACGCGTCACAAGTAGAATACCGAGGAAGGATCGTGGTGTTCACCGAACCTGCCAAACCGATCGCCATATCGGTGTGTCACGACTGCTTTGAAGTTTCAAGTGACACGATCGTAAAAACATGGGGCAAAATTGCCCGATGTGGACGAAATTGCACGATCGATGTGTGACAAGGGCACATCGATCGCCTGACTTCGAAGGGACAACTGTACGTTAGCGAAAATAAACGAAACCATGTAACCACCTAAACACCGATTCTAGGCAGGATCGATGTTCTACTTGTGACGCGTCCTCAGCCGGAAGCTCCGTTCCTCCTTGATCTCGCCCTACGCTATGATCAGTGTTGAATTGGAATTTAGTTTGCTTAGAACCTTACTTCACCACTCTGATCTCTTTAAAACCGTTTTACCGCGCGGTAGTGGAGATCTTTTCAGTCATTCTCCAGTAGTCATTATCCTCGTTTCTTTTAGTTATATTCTAGGGACTTGACTCTACCGCTCCGCGATCCCAGCCGGAGCAACTGTAGCCTTGCCTAGTCGCCGACCTTCGTCAGAACGCCATGGCACCAGAGGTGAGCCTGTTCGCTCGATCGCTCGTTCGTTCGGTCGTCCAGAGACTCAATTTACCTCCCGTATCTTTTAGCGCACTAGTTCATTTGCTTCAAATGCTTTGTAGCCGATGTTATTTAGTGTTGGTTTGTCTAATCAGGCCCCTATGTGCAATACGAAGCTTTCGTTCGCGCTAGACACTTGCTTTAGAAGTGGCTATACGGCCCGTGATCGCGACTACTAATGCCTGCCCCATGTTCAGTTTGATCAGTTCCGATCGCGGCTAATGCATGTTATATGATAGCTGAACGTGACGAAGTAGCTTTAGAGTACTTCAACTCGACCTTAAGGATCTTCGTTCAACTAACCCGTTATGACTATTACACGCGAGGCTTTAGGATCGTCTTCCAGTTTTCGTGAACTCTATCGGGATTACGTGACGTATCTCAGAAGCTTCGGCGGTGTTCGCAGCAAGGCTAGCAGGGCCGTCTGTAGCTGCTTGCGTGGGGGAAAGCTTGCTTACGAAACCTTCAAATCGCAAAGAATCCTTTCTCGAACAGGCGCCTCCTGAAGTCGCTGCGAGAGATTTTTACGATAATTTAATCAATTTCTTGTTTCCTTACGTTGCCTTCTTCCACAATTCCAGGAGACGGATCCCCAGGCAGCTGCAGCAACAGCACCGCCTCCTCCCGACGCCAATGCGGCTGCTGGAGAGAAGGAGGAGGACCCTGAAAGGAAGAAGAAGAAGGAGGAGAAGGTGGGCCTTTTAGTGGTGACGGTACTGAGGGCTTTTGAGAATGCTACCTTCTGTGTTTGTCTAGTCTGCAGTTAGACTGCAGTGGGGACTCCTCCAAAGCAATCTGCATCTCGGCAAGGTCATTTATAGTTATTGGACTACACAAATTCCGGCATTTAGTCCAAAGCGACCTAATTGCGTCACTGTGCCGTCTGGCTTCTTCACCCGGTTCTGTTCTGTCAACCCTTGTTACTGTCAACCCTCGTACTGTCACCCCCCCATTGTGTCACACGCAGGCGCGGGAGAAGGAGCTGAAGAAGCAGAAGGCGGCGGAGAAGGCAGCCAAGGCCAAGGCAGCCGCTGCTGCAGCCGCTTCTGCTGAGGTGCGTGCGCATTGTGGCACTTGTGCTGTGTTTTCCTTTTAGCGCCTATTGATTCGATAATATAAGGTAACTGTTTCTGCTTTTGCGCGGAGGACTGTGTCACTTGTGATTTTGGGCCTTCTTCGTTGTTAGGTGTCAAAGAGTCATAAGCATGACCTTCATTTCCTCTCTCTGCCTGCCCCACCCCCTCCCCCTCTCCCTCTCCCATTTTCCTTGTTTGCCTTCTCTTGCTGTTCAGCCGTCCAAGAAGGCAGAGGCAAAGGCCAAGAAAGCGGCCGCAGCAGCAGCAGGAGGAGGGGGAAGCGAGGAGGCAGATGCAGCGAATCCGCCCACAGAGCCCGGGCAGAAGAAGAACCTCGCCATGGAGATGGCCAAGGCGTACAACCCCAAGGCCGTTGAAGCATCGTGAGTGTAGCTGGACTGTACATAGTAACTAGTCAGATCTATAACGGGGATGCAGTGAATCCGCCCACGGAGCCCGGGCAGAAGAAGAACCTCGCTAAGGAGATGGCCAAGGCGTACAACCCCAAGGCCGTTGAAGCATCGTGAGTGTAGATCAACTGTACACGGTAACGAGTCAGTTCTATAACGCGGATGCAGCGAATCCGCCCACGGAGCCCAGGCAGAAGAAGAACCAACTGGGGCAATACAACGCAGTACACTCTTTTAGCGCAAATACGAGTCCTTTCCCCCCCTTTCCGGCCCCATCTTCTTCCTTGTTTTCCTTTCACCGGCACACGGCCCCACCAGGTGGTATGAGTGGTGGGAGCAGGCAGGGTTCTTCAAGGGCGACAACCAGAGCACCAAGCCTCCTTCTGTCTCTCCTCTCCCTCCCGCCCCAACTTCCTTGTCTTCCTCCTTGTCTTCCTCTCTTGGGTTGGCCTCACAACACAACCCCACCAGGTGGTACGAGTGGTGGGAGCAGGCAGGGTTCTTCAAGGGCGACAACCAGAGCACCAAGCCGCCCTTTGTCATTGTGAGTCGGCTTGTCCCTCATGTATTTCGCTCTAAAAACTGTCAGGTAAAAAGAATCATGTAAAAAAAAGAAAGGAGAAACCAATATTATCTAAATCATTTCTTGGTCGCTTGCATTGCATCTGATCGGATCCTGTGTTTGCAGCCTGGTAACTTTAGCCGTGTGCCCACTCACGCCCTGCTTGCTGCTCCCCTCCTCCCTGCTCGCTGCTCGCTCCCCCCTCCCCCCTCATCCTGCAGCTGGTGCCTACCCCGAATGTGACTGGCGCTCTGCGCATCGGGCACGGGCTGACAGCAGCAGTGGAGGGGCTTCCCTTCCCTTCGTCCTCCCCCGCCCCCACTCCCATGACACTATCGGCACTTCTCCCCATCCTATTCCACACCCTTCCTTCCACCTCTCCGCGTGCAGGTGGTGCCTCCTCCCAATGTGACTGGCGCTCTGCACATTGGCCACGGGCTGACAGCAGCAGTGGAGGACACGATCGTGAGGTGGAAGCGAATGAGCGGCTACAACGTCTGCTGGGTGCCGGGGACAGATCATGCCGGCATCGCCACCCAGGTGTGTTTGGGTGAACTGAAGGTGCATTGGGTTGGGTCTGGTGTGTGTAGCATCGCATCGCCACTCAGGTGTGTTGGGCTGACAGCAGAAGAGGAGGACACTATAGTGCAGTGGAGCAGAAGCACATGAGCGGCTACAATGTGCGCTGGGTGCCTGGAACGGATCATGCTGGCATCGCCACTCAGGTACGATGTGTGTTACAGGAACCCCCCCCCCCCCCCCCCCACCCTTGCTCTTATTCATACTCAACTGTCAGTCGTAACAATCATCGTCCATCCCTTCTCCTCCCCTCCCCTCCCCTCCCCTCCCCTCCCCTCTATTCACCTGGCAGGTGATGGTGGAGAAGACTTATGCGGGAGAAGGGTCTGTCTGAACTTATGGCCCTCTCCTCGCCGTCACCTCATCGTCCTCTCAACACCTCCTCCCCTCTCTCCCTTCCCTGTCCCTTCCTCCCTTCTCCTCCCCTGGTTGGCAGGTGGTGGTGGAGAAGAAGATCATGCGGGAGAAGGGTCTGTCTCGCCACAATGTGACATCAAGTTGACCCGTAACCTTCTCCTCTCCATCACCTCATCGTCCCTCCCCTCCCCATCCCTCCTCACCGCTGGTTGGCAGGTGGTGGTGGAGAAGAAGATCATGCGGGAGAAGGGACTGTCCCGCCACGACGTGGGCAGGGAGGACTTCGTCAAGGAGGTACGCACATGTGATGGCTACTGTATGCACTGCATGGTCATTCCTCGTTACCAACTGAACAGCCAATGCTGCCCCCACAGGCCCACTGAAATTCAGTTGACTGCGTCTCATGCTTGGTTGGTTGCTTCATGTGCGCTGCGAGTGCAGGTGTGGAAGTGGAAGGAGGACTATGGAGACCGCATTGGCAAGCAGCAGCGCAAGATGGGAGCATCCCTCGACTGGTCTCGAGAGGTACAGTGTCTCCTGCCTGC